AAGAAGTTAGTCTAGGTTGGGCCATCTATGGAATGAAGTCATTGCAGAACCACTTAGGTATGATGATATCATCCTGTATGACGTAAAAAGATGACGTGGCTTAACTCAACCTGTGGTATAAGATAGGAGGGACTTCACAGAGACAATGCTTGAGCTGGATTCTGAAAATTTAAGACTTGACCAGACTGAGAAAAGGGAAAGGAATATTCAGAACTGGCACGTACAAAGACGTGAAGAACATTTGAACAACTGCAAGCTCAGCAGAAGTGAAGAAGGCCTGGGGTGGGAGGTGAAGATAGAGTTTAGACAGGAAATCCCCACCATGGAAAGCCATAAATGGTTTTACCCTGAGGAATAATATTGGATTTGAAGTTCAGAACCTTCATTCTGTCTTGCACTGGAGCCAGGAAATCAAATTCTAAGGGAGTCGTAATTCAGACCTAAAAGAGGGTAGTGGCAGGAGGAATGAAAAAGCAGCAAAAACAGGTAGTTAAGAATACTGTTCAGGTTTCATCTGAAAAATCAAAAGAGGGACATGTGGAAAAGGCATGGAAATTACATTTCTCTTAGCCTATTGCTTGTCATTTGATGTGGCAATTCCTGTTAGGCAAACCCTCATGTTTGGATTATTTTTTTTTAAGATTTTATTTATTTATTCATGAGAGACACAGAGAAAGGCAGAGATACAGGCAGAGGGAGAAGCAGGCTCCCTGCTTGACGTGGGACTCGATCCTGGTCTTCAGGATCACTCCCTGGACCAAAGGCAGGCACTAAACCGCTGAGCCACTCAGGCTGCCCATGTTTGGATATTTTTATGGTTACCGTCAGGTCTGACCTCCAGCAACTGATTACTAATCTGATGGCTCCTAGTCTTAGATGTCTCGCATAGTCCTTTACCAACAGACACAACATCCCCCTCCCTAGCCTTTTCCAAGTTCCTCGGCCCTACTACTTCTCACCTTTGCCTAAGTAACTGTTTTAAGATGTGTGGTGCCCTGAGTTGAAATGTTTTACCTCTGGAGTTAACAGGAAAGACCTTGTTTTTCGTTTAGGCTGACAAAATGTTCTTCAGTCTTATCACTGGTCGAAATTTCCAGAAGGAATGTATCACACCCTCCTTCCCTTCCATGTCTAGAAGAGGCCTGCTGGTTATTGAAAGGGTTAAATGTTTTACTACTAATTTCCTTGCAAAAAGTAAGGGCCCAATAAAAGTTCTAAAGCATCCAATTTAAATACATAATTCCAGCACAATGTGATAATTTATATCACATTTATTGTATTGGAATTATTTGCTTATGTATATCCCCCCATTTAACTGTATGTGTTTTGAGGGTCTAACTATTACGACTACATGTGGGATGTTGCACGTACTGATTACTTTCACGACACTTTATGGCTCTTGATTTAAAAGTAGTTACTAACATTCTTTTAATTCTCCATTGTTCCCTGTCCATTATATACTGACCCATTTTATGTATTCTCCCTTATGTAACAAATTATTAGAAAATCCAAGAATTTAGAGAGCAGATGTTAGAGTCGATTAGGAATTCTCAATTGTCATCTGAAGATCTTCAGCCTTTCTCAGATATGGTTCTTACTTGGAACCTTAATAGAACTGACTTTGAGTTCTAGGACACAGAAAGAGCTAATTCATGTAAATATCTTTAAATGATATGATTTGGGTATTTAATAACTAAACTATCTGGGATGGGTATTTTGTACTACTTTGTTCACTTAGCTCTTCAATCTAATGTCTTTTGCTTAACACAAAGAAAGAAAACAGAAATGCCGTGAAAGAAATGTTTGTTTTCGTTTGAAAAATAAAATACCAACTCCACATTTTGTTAAGATTCATTTTATAAAATACCTTAAAAGAACAGATAAAGTACTTGAGTTTACATAATAACCAGGATTGAAAAAAGATGAATATAAATTAATTGAACACATAACTATTTTGCCACATTAAACAAGTTTAAAAAAGGCATTAAAAAAAATAGTAATTGGGAAGAAAACCCTTCACTCTATTGCTGTCTTTTTTTGGAAACTTTTTCTAGAAGCACTAAAATTCCAGGTCAACAGGCAGTACCTGTATTGTTGAAAACACACGGTAATTTGCTTCCAAATCTGTCAGCTTAAGAGAAAAAAAATTAAAATTTTAACCAGGTTCGATAATTCAGTGCAAATTAAAGCTTCAAGTCGAAAATTCAAGAGGAAAAATAATGTCCAAACTGTAGGAAATGCTTCTGGAACTGAAAACGAAAAAAAAATTCACATTATGAAGAAATCTTTGCAAGTGTTCTTGTGTGTGAGATATTGAGTTAACAAATGGGCCCTCTGAAGTTGCAATTAGGGCTTTAGTAAGACGATTTGCAATGTGGGTAAGGAGAAATGGACAGGGAGGAGCTAAAGGTCATTTTGTGGAACAAAGCTCAAGTTAACCATAAGCACTGCACGGATTCAATTCTAGAAAATTTGGCCAGGATATTGCAGACATCAAGGGGAAATAAAGAAATTATGGAACTAATTTACTTGACTATCGTTGAGGATAAGTACTTCTATCCCCAGAATATGTTGGGAGATGAGGGAGAGCAGGTTAATGTTGGCCATGATATAATTATATGGATTCTAGGGTGTACTGGCTTAAAAAATAATTATATTACCAAGTCTTGAGAAACAGGAAGAATGTCTAACTTTCTGGATCACAGTGAAACCAAGTGTCAATCATTTCCAATCATTAATGGGGAAGTCGTCATTTTTATAATTACTCTGGTTTAATTATTTCCACAAAAAAATATATATATATATTTTTTTGCATTTGGTAGTCATTGGTAATAGGTAGCAATGGGTTTTTCATGACTGCATTTGATAGAAAGTTTCCCTCTTTCTATTACATTCCATACAAGCTTCTGATTCATTCTTTTTAATGATAAGACTAATGGTTGCTATCGAGTATCAGATGTAGAGATTTTAGTGGAGGCTCGGAAGTCATTTTTGCAAAATAGATCTAAAAAAAAAAATGTAGGTCTAAATTTACTATATCGTCACCAGTCTTAATTCTCACTGGAAGTTTCCACACATTATTTGAAAACTGTTTGAATGATGTGCTGTGGTTTACTAACATTTGTATTTTACATCATTCTCTACTAGAGTTAGAACAATGTTATCACAATGAAGTGGCAACTTTTGGCTTTTAGTTGTCTCTAGGATCAGCAAGTCATAAAAACAAAACATACAGTGCTACTCCAACATGACATCAGAGACCGATTAAAAAAAAAAAAGTAAATAATCATGATGATGTACATGGAGTCCCTAAATCCATGAAGGATCAGCTGATGCCATTTTTAAAACTGTAAAACCTGCACTCATATACCTGCCCACAGGTGGAACATCTAAGGAAGAGCAAAAATTCCTCTCCGGGGACACTGAGCAGTGCAGACCCTACTTGAAGAAATCGAAACACCCATGCCTGTGACTCAAGTAGCTCCTATCATGATAGCCAAACCTTTAAGGGCATGTGTCACATGTCACTTTGCAAGACAACGCATCAGTTCCCCTCCCCAGGTCAACTTGCTGACTGCTCCAGGCTTGAACCTCAGTTTCCACCGGGTCCTGCTAGATGTTTGGTCCCGTCCTTTCAAAACCTGAAGAGAGGCTCACTCTCAGATGCATCCTTTTACATCACACAAGGTGTGAAGTTGAAAGACGAGTGGTAACAAGGTGCACAAGCCTGCAATGAGTACACATTTAGAAGACCTTCTGTGGGCTCAAGCATTTTACACAGATCTGGTCCCATTTCTCCACCAACTTCTCATTAGGCTTTGTCCACCAGAGAGAGACTTTTGCCATCAAAAGCACAGATAAAGAATAACAAAACATCAGATCAGAATCAGCTTGTGACAGTTTGTGCTTTAAAAACACAGTGCCTAACAGCGTCAAGCACATCATAGATGCTCAATAAATATTTGCAGATTTATCAAGACTAATAACATGGTTTCTGTTTGGGGAGAAAAAAAAAAAAAAAAAGCAAGACTATATAAATTTCCTTCCCCTGACCGGATGCAGCAATGAGAATCTACAAATTAAATATGATTCTGATTTGATTGGAGATTTTTTTTTTTTGGCCAAAAAGAAAAAAAAAAAAAGAACAGAATATTGCCACAGTAGCATTGGCACTTAACAGTGCATCAGGGATTTCACTTTTTCCACTGCAATATGGCCTGGTTCCTACACCTGTTAGGTCCCAGAGGGTAGTCGACCCTCAAATAGGAAATGAGCTCTCTTCCACTTTGGGAAAGGAAGGATCATAGTTTTATCCGAAAACTATTCATACATTTCAGGGAGTCGGCCCTCGGATTCGGCCCGCCTCACGGTAACGCAGGCCTGAGGGTCAGGGAGCCGCACTCTAGGACGTCAGAGCACGGCGTCCTAGGACGTCAGAGCACGGCGTCCTAGGACGTCACCGCACGGCGTCCCGCGCAAGTGCGCTTCTCCCGCCTCCGCAGCCGCTGCTTCCCACCTACTGGTTCCTGTTTTTGCAGAGTAGGGACACCCCAGGGGTGCCAGAGGCGACTCCGGGAGGTCAGAGATCGCAACACTTTCGCTAAAAAGGGACGTTCCTCTCTATCGTACGAAAACCCCTTCTCAGAGAGGCAGCGAGTTCACCGACGAAGAAAACGCTTTATACATTCATAATTTCCCCGTCTCACAACAGCAAAGGTTTCCAAAAGAAAGACTCAGTAGTGAAGGCCACACACTTTTTTTTTCCTTTTTTCTTTTCTTTTTTTTTTTTTTGCATTAGTTCGATACGTTGAAGATCAGAACCTCTGAAGCATCTTGTGACTGGGCGAAATGGCGTTGGACCCGGCGGCGCGTGGGGCGGGGCGGGGCGGGCGCGTGACCGCGTGACGTCGCCGCGGCCGTGACGTCGCCGCCGCCCCGCCGGCTGCCTCGCGGGCGTCTGTGGAGGCGGCGGCGGCGGCGGGGGGGGGGGGGGGGGCGGGCGTGGCAGCGAACCTGGAGGCGCGCAGCGGGCCGCGAGTCGGCCGACGTGTAAACAAGGAGAAGCGGTTCACAGGTCTCGAAGTTGAAGGGACGTAAGTAAACGTCTTCAGATCACTTCTGTCAGTTCAACCCTGATTGGAGCAGCACGGCCGGCGGGGCGAGGCCCTGGCGGGGCGAGGCCTGGCGGGCGAGGCCCTGGCGGGGCGAGGCCCCGGCCGCCCGGCCGCTAGAGGTGCAGCCGCGGGGAGACGGGAGGCGGGTAGGCGAACTCGCGCAGGATGCTCCGGGCCACGTCGACGTTGTTCTGGGCGATCTCCAGCGCCCTCTTCACTTCCTCGAAGGCATAGCCCTCCCCCATGAGTTTGGCGATTTTCGCGTCCACGTTTTCCGACGCCGCCTCGGGCCCGTGGGGCTTCCTGTGCTGGACCTCGGGGGCGGCCCTGCGCGGGCGCGGCTTGGGAGGCCGGGCTGGTGCCTGCGAGCCGTCTGTGAAGATTAAAGAAAGAGAAGGAGAAGAGAAGAGAAGAAAGAAGAGAAGAGAAGAAAGAGAAGAGAAGAGAAGAGAAGAGGTATCCTGTAAATAATGGGATGAAGTAAAGATCCCGCCTCCCCTTGGTCTTGTACGTGAAAGCCCTACTGCCTCTCATCATCCCCACGCGTGAACGTTCCCCCCCCCCGTGTTTCGCGTGCTGTCGCGGGGAGGGCTGCCTTGTCCCCCTCTGAACTGGGTCCGCAAGTGCTGCAAGTTTGAGGGGTCAGCACGACTTCATCCCCGCTTCCGCAGGCGATCCGTGGAGCCCCGAGAGACGACGCGTGGAGGAGGGAGGGAAGGCCAGGAGCAAAGGCCAGGAGCCCCACCCACCCCGAGCAGGCCCCCCCGGCGCCCGGCGCCCCGCGCCCCTGCCAGTCGGACTCAGGTCAGTAACAGCCTCGACGCTTCGAGCTACTGGTGGTGGAAGAGGCTGAACGGAGAGGCAGACGCTCGGCTTTGCTCGCCTACTTTACCCCGGTTCCGGGCACGAAGTTCTGCTGGGGAAACCGCGAAGCCGGCCGCGGAGATCCGGGCTCTGAGTCCGTCCCCTGAGGAGTTTCTCAGAGCTCCATGAAAGGACACTGGTGCCCACGGGGAGACCGTACCCCAAGGCAGAGACCTCGAGCCCCCCCCCCCGCCCCCGCCCCCCGCAGGTCACAGGGCGTGGGCTGGGCACCGAGAAGGCACTGTGTCATGGATGCCCATGGTATCGGTATTTGTGCTGGATTTCAAAAGTTTAGATTCTAAAACGATGATTAGAAATTATCGAATTTATGCCGTGAAACACATTAACGGATTTAAGACTTTTTAGACACTGACACTTCTTTAATATCCTTTCTCAGGCCACTGACAAATGCCAAATGATAACTCTAAGGGCATACTTAAGTACCGTTTCTTGCATTTATGACTAAACATCTCAAGTTATTCTGGTCTGCTAAATCGCATTTCTCACTAGGTTTTTAGGTTCCATTTACTTTCTATTAAGTATTTCCATTATGTCATTGCAGCGATGGACAATAAATTTTACTTTGCTTCTAATGATTTCCAGAAAAACCGTTAGAAATTCTAGCAAGCTTACCCTTTAATCAATCACCACAGAATTCATACATTGAAATCTTGTCTGTTCTGATTTACTTTTGGGTGAGAAAAAAATACCTACACTTAAATGCAAGTCTAAATTCCTCATTTTCTACAGGTGACTCTTTAAGAGTTTTTCTGATACTGTTATTTTGCTTTTGCCCAAAATACTAAGAAGGACATATGAATGTCAAGCATCTTTGAAAAGAACAGCTGAATATGCTCCTAAAGTGGGAAGGATACTATGGCAGCTGGAGACACACCTACTAGTATTAATTGACAATGAAGTTTTAAGATTTACAACTTTTAAATTTAATAACCATGTGTATTTTATTTTTTTTTAATTTTTATTTATTTATTCATGATAGTCACAGAGAGAGAGAGAGAGAGAGAGAGAGAGAGAGAGAGAGGCAGAGACACAGGCAGAGGGAGAAGCAGGCTCCATGCACCGGGAGCCCGACGTGGGATTCGATCCCGGGTCTCCAGGATCGCCCTGGGCCAAAGGCAGGCGCCAAACCGCTGCGCCACCCAGGGATCCCTAACCATGTGTATTTTTAATTGAAGTAGAGTGGACATACATTATATTAGTTTCAGGTGTAAACAGTGATTTGACATTTATAAACATTACAAGATACCAGTGAGTGTAGTTACTGTCACCCTACAAAGGTATCATGATGTCACTGACTATATTCCCTATGCTGTGCCTGTGTTCTCACTGGAAGCCTGTACCTCTTAATCTCCTTCAGCTATTTTGCCCATTCCCCAAATTCCACATAACCACCAGTTCTCTGTATTTATGTCTGGTTTTTTTTTTCATTTTTTTTTAGATTGCACATACAAGTGAAATTTTATGGTATTTGACTTATTTTACTTCGCATGATACCCTCTAGGTCCATCCACATTGTCACAAATGGCAAGATGTCACTATTTGTGGCTAATATTCCCCAGTGTGTGTCTCTGGGTGTGTATATATATCTTTATCCATCTGTTGATGGACACTTATATTGCTTCCATGTCTTGGCTACTGTAAATAATACAAAATTGCATGTATATTTTCAAATTACTATTTTTGTTTTCTTTGGGTAAATACTGAGAAGTAGAATTGCTGGATCATATCATATGGTAGTTTTATTTTTTAAAGGAATCTCCATATATTTTCTGTAGTAGCTACGCCAGTTTACATTCCCACCAACAGTACAGGAGTTCCCTTTTCCCCACATCCTTCCAATGCTTGCTTCTTGATGATAGCCATTCCGACAGGTGTGAGGTGATACTCCCATTGTGATTTTGATTGGCATTTCCCTAATGATTAGTGATGTTGAGCATCTTTTCACGTGTCTGTTGGCCATTTGTATTTTTTTTTTTTTTTTGAAAAATGTCTATTCAGGTCCTCTGCCAATTTTTTTTTATTGGATTTTTTTTTTTTTTTTGGTGTTGAGTTATAGGAGTTCTTTATATATTTTGAGTATTAACCCTTTATTGGGTATATAATTTGCAGATTTCCTCTCTCAGTGGGTTGCCTTTTCACTTTATTGATGGTTTCCTTTGCTGTGCAAAAGTTTTTGAGTTTGGTGTAGTAGCAATTGTTAATTTTTGCTTTTGTCACCCTGCCCTGAAGAGAGAGATGCAAAAAAAAAAAAAAAAAAAAAAAATTAAGATTGAGGTCTAATTTACTACATACGTTTTTCTCTTTGGACTTTTAAGGTTTCAAGTCTTACATTTAGGTCTTTAATCCTACTTTGAGTTTCTTTTCACATATAGTGTGAAGTGGCCCAGTTTTCTCAATACCATTTAATGAAAAGATTGTCTTTTCCCCATTTTATATTCTGATCATCTTTATCACAGATTGACCTTAGACATGTGGGTTTATTTCCAGGCTCTCTATTCTGTTCCAGTGATGTATGTGTCTGTTTTTGTGCCAGTAACATGCCGTTTTGCTACAGTTTGTAGTATAGTTTTAATATGGCACTGGGGTACTTCAAATAGCTAAAGCATTCTTGAGATAGGAACAAAGCTTAAATTCTTTGTGGTTTCATGCAAATATTAGTACTATTTGTTCTAGGTCTGTGAAAATGCTATTGGTACTTTGATAGCGATTGCATCCAATCTGTAGACTACTTTGGGTAGTATGGTATTTTAGCAACATAAATACTTCCAATCCACGAACACATCTTTCCATTTAGTTGTGCCATCTTCAGCTTCTTTTACCAGTATCTTATAGTTTTCAAAGTACAGGTTTTTAACTTCCTTGGCTAAGTTTTATTCATAGGCATTTTATTCTTTTTGCTTTGTTTTTGGAGGGAGGCTTTTTTGGGGCATTTTATTCTTTTTGATACAATTGCGAATGAGATTATTTTCTTAATTTTTCTGATGGTCCATTATTAGTATATAGAAATAACAATTTTTATATGTTAATTCTATATCTTGTGATTTTACTGAATTTATTTATCCTAATAGTTTTTTGGTAGAGTTTTCTATGTATGGTATCATGTCATCTGCAGATAGTGACGGTGGTACTTCTTAGGAACTTAGATGCATTTGTTTGATTGCTGTGACTAGGACTTTTAGTACTACGTTGAATCAAAGTTGTGAGAGTATCCTTGTCTTGTTCTGATCCTAGAGGGAAAGCTTATAGCTTTTCACTGTTGAGTGTGATGTTAACTGCGAGCCTGTCGTATACAGCTTTACTATGTTGAGGTATATTCCCCATCTAACCACTTTGTTGAGAGTCTTTATCATGAATAGATGTTGAATTTTGTCAAAAACTTTTTCTACATCTATTGAGATGATCATATTTTATCCTTCATTTTGTTAATGTGCATCACACTGATCTGCTGATACTAAATCATCCTTGTATCCCTGGAGTAAATCCCACTTGATTGGGGTGAATGATGCTTTTAATGTGTTTTTGAATGTTGTCTGCTAATGTTTTGTTGAGGATTTTTGTATCTACGTTCTCTCAGGATATCAGCCTGTAATTTTTAAAAATAATATCTTTTGTCTGATTTTGCTATGAGGGTTAATTCTGCTATCATAGATTGAATTTGGAAATGTTCCTTCCTCTTCAATTTTTGGGAGTATTTTGAGAAGGATATATATTAACTTTTCTTTAAATGTTTGGTAGAGTTCACTTGTGAATCCATCTGGTCCTGAACTTGTGTTTCCTGGGAATTTTTAAATCACTGGTTCAACTTCATTACTAGTAATTGGTCTGTTCATATTATTTCTTTCTGAGTCAGTCTTGGAAGATTGTGTTTCTAGGGAGTTAGCTATTATTTCATCTAGGTTGTCCAAATTACTGGCAAATAATTTTTTGTAGTAGCCTTTTATAATCCTTTGTATTTGTCAGTTGTAACTTTTCCTCATTCTTTTTTTCTAAATAAAGATTTTATTTATTTATTCAGGAAAGACATGGAAAGAGAGGCAGAGACACAAGCAGAGGGAGGAGAAGCAGGCTCCATGCAAGGAGCCCAATGTGGTTGGTACTTAACCCTGGGAATCCAGGATCAGGCCATGAGCCAAAGGCAGACACTGAACCACTGAGTCACCCTGGTGTCCCTCCTCATTCATTTCTGATTTCATTTGAATCCTCTTTCTCTTGCTTAGTCTGGCTAGAGGTTTATCCTGTTTTCTCTAAGAGCCTGCTCTTAGTTTTGTTGATTTTTAACCCCCCCCCTTTAGTCTTTTCATTTATTTCCACTCTGATCTTTATTATTTCTTTCTTCTCCTTCTAACTTTGGGCTTTGTTCTTCTTTCCAGTTCTTAGGTGGTAAGGTTAAATAGTTTGAGATTTCCGTTGTTTCTTGGGGTAGGCCTGTAGGACTACTATAATCTTCCCTGTTTTCACTGCATTCCAAAGATTTTGGAAGTTTGTGTT